ACTTGAGTTTCTTCCCTATAAACTAACTAGTGCTTCAGTCCCTTCTGCCAACTTGGTAGATACCAGCCTGGTACACGGGATGAGCCGCAAGCAGGCCACCTGGCCAAAAGGCTTTGTGAAGCCCCTGTCCGGGAAGAAAAGGAGCTCAGGATGCAGATCTGTTCGCGGCCGGCGAGCGCAGCCGTGAATGAACGTGCGGTTCATCTTCTGAACCGGCTAGACTCGGTGGTGCAAACACTGTCAGACTTGTTATCTAAAGTGCCTGTCATCCATGTTGGTCAGAACTTCGTTCGAGTCATCCGGGGTCACCAATTTGGAGTGAAAGGGTCCCCTGAATACTTCACAAATAGATAGAAACTTGTGGATGGAACACAGGGACAGTGTGTGCCAAGCAGGGATCAGCTTGGCGAAGTTCTACTGGATCTCCACCTTGTCGACATCACCAATGGAAGGACACCACACAATTTTGTTTCACTCAACCATCTGCCCATGGGCGACGCTACTTTTGGATCTGCCATTAGAACACAAGGCTCTGCCATTCTGCCATCAACATCGGAGTGCACCTCAATACAGCAATGCCCTTGTTTGGACATGATCAACTTGCTTTTGCAAGGGATGCTGAAAATTGAAACAACATTAGCCATTGCTTTAAATCGTGACATCACTGGTAACATGATATTCATTCCGTCTCTTTCAAGCGGTGGCCCAGCTGCACTGGCACCACTACTTTGGGAGGCTGAGCAATGGCTGCAGCCATCCCAGGCGACAATCCCGGCGGAGGAGGCAGGGGCGCTGTAAGTGCTAAGCCTTCTGAGGGGTTGGCAACGACGTGAGACACCAAGGCTGGTGGTGGAGGCAGCTGTGCACGCTCTGCGGAAGGTGTTGGGGGTTCTGAGTCGGCCAACTCCTCTGCTTCATCAAACACTTCCTCCATGCCGAGATGAATATTATCATACACTGCCTTTGAGATAGCATAAAGGCTCATCATGATTGAGAAGCAAAGTGTGAAGAAGGCAGTGACATCTTCCGAGCCAGATGTGAAAAAGGCGCTGTAGTACTGCAGCAAGAAGGACAGCGGTGCTTCTAGGGTTTGTTCTGCGTGAAGGATGGACAAATACTTGTCGGAGGGAACACCAGTCTTGCGAAAATCCCTGAAGGCATGTAGTAGGTCTGTAGGTCCCCCTTTCCACAGCTCAGAAGCTGCTGCGAACAGCATAATGATTCCCTGGGCAGCTGCAAATCCAAATTGCTGAGTCATGATAAATTGACCGAAGCACACGGCATCTGAGGCAAGATCAAAGCAAAACATCAAAAGGGCAAAATATGATTTTGCTCTCTCCTTGAAGGTTGCTTCTTGCTGCATCATCTCCTGTTGCAACTGCTTGGCCTTCCGGCGAACCGCTTTCCGCAACTCTCTGTCTTCATGAATCTCCGTAAGGAGACATTCTCGGAACCACACTGTGCTCAACGTGCACAGAAGCAGCCAGCCAGAGAGCATGAAGGCTGGAAGTGTGATGTATAAACATGTCACAAAATCCAAGAAGCCTCGACCAATTTGTGGCATTTGACAAGCAATCGCATCAGCATTGCATAAGTTGGCAAGCCATCCTTGAACTTCCATGCACTCATGAAACATGAATGCATCAAAATCTCCATGCACACACGATCTTTGAAGCATCTGAGGCAGCTGGGCAAAAGTCTCTAGAGTAGCTTCGCGGTACGGTACTTCGCCCAGTGAAGGGTTGTCTTCAGGTCTCCGGAATGCATCCGAACTCAGTTGGTAGTGGTAGTTGGAACCTAGATTTGCCACAACAAAAAACATTTGGCACGTGCCACCCGTTCTGAAAATGGTAACAACAACATCCGGCCTGGGAGGGCCTGTGAGGAATCGGACGTGGTACAACAAGGAGCTTGAAACAATCATAAACAATCTATAGTACAACATTCTATTTCAAAATTCACAATCTATAGACAATTTATATACAATTGATAAGACTCTATTGTATTTTTGTCTTGTCAATTTTGAAAGAAGAGTTCTGTGGTCTGTGTACAACATAATAAACAAAGTCGAAAGACTGCCAGGAACAATGAGGCCGCAAAACACAGACCGGTCGCTGCCAACTTCAAGAGCTTCACGAGAATAGTTCGACATTGTTCTCCCTATGATTTCCATTTCTGTTTCCTTCGAACCCGTCCACTGCCACTCCGTAGTGTAAAGAAGGCCAGTCGGAGTCAGGCACAAGGCGTTGGCGGAAAAGGATAGAAGAATTGGAACCCAGCAAACAATTCTTAATAGGATGGTAGCAATGTAGAATCGCCGAGCGTGCTTCTGCGCCCTGACCAGGCCAAAGGCGGAGTATCCTTGACAAAACAAGGCAAAGTAGACGACTTTCCGCGAATCTCCCAGAACCATTCTTCCTGTCATCCCAGCGCGATCAGCACTCAGAAGAGCCTGCAGGGTAATCCTGTTCCTCTTCCGAAACTCAAAAACAGCATGTTCCTTGTATGATCTTGTATGTACACTCCCTGAAACAATCATGGAAGTGGATGGCACCCCTTGTTTGTAGATTTTGTAGAGGAAAACCGTAGGGCCATTCTCCACTACCATGTTGGTTTGAGGGAGGGCAGTGCTCACTTCCGAAGGTTCTTTCTGTTCGACATGTCAGCAACATGAATGCAAACATGCTCGAGTGAATATCAACTCCTGCCTGTAAGAAGAAAGGGACAAAAAGCATTGCAGGGTGGCTGAAATATCCGAGCCTTACTGGTCCGAAATCTTGAAACTCAATTGTTTGCGGTTGCTGTGACAAAGTTTGATTCACAGCCACTCTGATAATGATTCTAGACCAATTCCCATGTCAATGCAAAAAAAAAACCGAACCAACAAATCGATTCCCCCAACCACAAGGGATCCCTACACGTCATGGGTATCTCGGAAACGCTCGGTGGGTCATACGCTCTCGGGATCGTTGCTTTTGATGCGTCAAGTGCGCAAAAGGTTTCATTGGCATTGCAGCTCTACGGAGAAGTGGAACTGCAAAGAGCGAGATCCTTTGGAGTGCCGAACTCCAATGGATCTATGGTTCAATATGCCGCTTCATTTCGGATTGTCTGGGCTGCGGAGACCGTGTACGTTCCGGCATCGCAGTGCCGTGGGAGATTGGAATTGTTGGTGACAAACGCACTGGGTGAAGTGGTGTGAAGTATCCAGTGAGTGGTGTTGCAACCTCAGTTCTATGAGGGAGCGAAATGGGAGGCTTCACCATTGAGCGCCAGCTAGCATGGGAGTCGCAACTGGCGTCACAGTGATATGGGTAAGTGGAACCGCACATAGCCAGGGCTCCGTCAAGTGCTCGGCAGGTTGTCTTAGGATGCAAGTTTCTCTGCAAAATTGTTACTGCAATGGCAGGGCTGGGCCAGGTGGATATTTCTGGAGGACATAGTCTAGAACAATCTTCACTACTGTACATTGTACTTCACCTAATCAAACACCACCACTGCACTCACTATATTGCGCATGACCATGACCACATTACACTTCATCGCATCGCAGAGCAAAACATTGCAAATCACCACATGACTCATGGCAACACGCGACATCACAAAACCCCCAAAAGCATATCACCGCATTCAGATCATTCTACAGCAAACCAAAAAAGCCTTCTGGGTAAATCATTGCAGCAAACTTGCCCTGCCTGAGATTGCCTATCAAAAAGGCGCAATCCCGGATACTTCTGGGATTCGAAGGGGTCTAAGTCAAGCCAATTGGTTCTCTGTTTATCTTGTCCTAGGTTATTCCTAGCCCCACTGCCGCGATCCGGGAACCCTGGCTCTTTGGTCCAGCCACTGAATCATGGTCGTCAGGCTCCCAACTTCCTAGGCTGAGGCCCCTCACGCCAACACATGAAGTATGGACAAACGCAACTGACCGAATGAGAACCACAGCATTACCTTTGAAAGAAGATTCACAGTCAGTGCTTTGATGGAACCACAAAGTACTGAACAGCAACGATGTTTATGGTTGAACACTTCTTTGACATGCTTCAAATAGAATGTAGCCACTACAAACACAAAGTAATTGGCAATGAACAAACACACTACAGAATACCAATAGAATACCAACATATGTGATCAGCATTGATCAGCAATGGGTCTGACCGAAAGCCTTTGGAAGCCTTTCGCCTTTTACAAACAAATCAAAGAATATTTTCGACAATCCTGGCATCCATTAGGATGCATAGCCATACCACCCAGGACTTGAGAGGCATGCGCAAAGCCACGACTTCCTTTGCGGCCGCCAAGCGCGCCGCAACTTTGAAGGACATCGCGGCGCAAAATGCTTCAGCTCTGATATAAGAGCTTAAAGGTGCCGAGCACTATCTCAAGGATTCATTCAGAGAGGCTCTGATGGTTTTGCTTCTGAGAACTAAACTTCTGGTTCCACATGTGCTGTCATGGCCAGGGCCTTCCGAAACAAGTCGCGACAGCAATGAAAGTCGTCTCCGGGCCTTGCTGCTTGAGCTGCGAGGCTCCAAAGTGTGAAAACAAACTCTGATGAACTCATCCTTCGTTTTTTCACAGCGAACATGTGGAGAGTCTTGACTTCTCAGAAATGGCAGACCCCCGCCACACTCCTGAACATCCCCAAGAAGTCTACCAACAGTCCAGACTGCCGCCCACGCGCACCAGCATCTGGGCACCTCACTCAGCACGTGAACGACGTGGAACTGTGTCTTGCGCCTGGTCTTCAGCTCTGTCTTCCGCAAGAAGAAACATTTGCAACACCCACTTAATAGCGATGGCCTCCAACCTAAGGCAAGAATTGAACCAATTGAGGCTCTAGATTTCCCAATCAGAATTCACGCCTGTCAACGTTACACAGATCGATTTACTGCCAACATTCCACGAAAAATAGCTGCTCAAATGGTCCTGAAAGGTTTGAAGGTTAGATGACATGCTTTTCTGCTAAATCCAGCTAGCTCGTGGTAACACCTATGCATACCATGCATACTGCAAATCAAACATGCCAATAGTTTGGGTCTATCCTACTAGCAGTAACAGTGGATGATGATGGTTAATTACAAAAGGCCTTGTTCAGAACTAGTGATAATTGTGTATTGACTGTTACAGGTAATAGGACAGACCCAACCAATAGTAGTGGTAGTGGAATGTACATTAAGTGACAGTTCGTTGTACGCTTCTTGTGTCTTCCGTGGATCTGACTTGCGTTAGTCTATAACAACAAATCAATCAGCTGTGAACAAATTTGCAAGCATGGAGAGAATGGTCCATGGTTTCAGCCTCCACATCTGAGGTTGGCAACAGAAATCAACAGAATCTATCTATACAGTTGATGGAATCGGTTGGTATTGGTCAAACAACTAAACAAAAGAACATGCTGGGCAAGCCAAAGCACACCTGACCCACAAAGGTCGGGTTCACCAAAACACCCGAGGTGCTGGTTGGGCACGAAATCCCGAGGTGTATGTACCACCAACGGTCTGGTGTATGTACCAACCAGCCAGGGCCGACCTGTCGACGAGCGTTTGGCCGACCTGTCAAGAAATCCGATGGAAACAAAGCAACCGCTCCGGACAGATGGACAAACTGAACCACTCAGCGGTCGAGTTGCTTTCGTATCACCGCGGGCCGCGAGAAGTGGGCTTAGCGCAGCTTAGCGCATGGCAAGAGTCCTGACCGCGATGAAGGTGGATTCAGTCCCCCAAAGAGCGCAGAGGCTCTAAAGCAACGAAGCAAACCATCTTTTTGATTCGAGCTGTAGATCTAGATGATTCCAGAGCTCGTGCATGTCAACTCATTTTACGGATTGAGGATTTGTAGAGAGCAGAACCGCACATGTGGTTCCATCGTTCTTTCCACACATGTCATATCGTACTCCAAGATCGACCATGTCGTACATTGGGGGCATCTGAAATGAAGTCTGGCAGGCAATCAAAACACCAAGCAAGCTTGGCTGCTTTTACCAGGCAATTTCTTAACAAGTTCATTGATGTATAGGTGCAGCAACAACATGATCGGTTTGGAAGTCTACAGCTCTTGGCAAAGAGAGGTAGAAGTAAGTAGGTCTTTGGCTGACTTCCTAAACCCGTAGCTGGAGTCAAACTTTGATGCCATGTGCTTCAGTTGCCCTCTCCAAGCAAAGAGGCCTGGCCATTCAAGGAGGGAAAACAAATCCCCTGTGATCTCGGCCACACACACACACTTGTATTCATCTGACTCATGTTTTCGGCAAGATACCCCCAGGCTACACCGTGCACCTGCCTCCCGTGAGTTCTATGGGTGCTTTTGTTAAGCTCCCCACTCCCCGCTCCCCCTCCAGCCGCCCAGTCGCCTTGGCCATGCACTTGCGGCTGTGGCCGCCAGTCTGTTGGCGAAGTTTCCCTGTTTCGAGGTCTGAGTCATGAGGTATTTACTTGTGTTTGTCAAAAAATGGTTGGCCCAAGAGGTATTTTGTCCAGGTTCTTTCTTACACATTAATTATGATGCTTGTTGCCAACCCACTAACAAGTAGGTGAGATGGAAAGTATTGCACTGGACAGCAAAAGAATGTCTTTCCAGGCCTCCTCACCAGGTTTTGAACCCTTCGGCTGCTAAAGGCAGGGCCCATGGTCAAGAAAACGGTCACTGTGCATCAATTGGACACCCAGCATACCGTATCTTATTTTGATTCCTGCTTCCACCACCAACAGGGTTGCTCAGGCACCCACTGCTTCGTGAAGATGCTTCGATGTATGTGGAGTTTTCTCTAGTCCAAACTGCTGTGTCTGTGCACGAGCAGGTTGAGCTGAGCACTGCCAAGTATTTTCATGTATGTTGAAGAATGAATGTCATGGCTAGCTGACCAGTGGCTTATCTAAATCACCTTCGAAGCATGAAACACCGCAACGGACACATCGCGCCCCCCTTTTTGCACCGAAGTGGTCAATTCCTCGCCGGTGCAGTCTTCGAGGGGACGGGACGTGGAGCGGCGAAGGCGAAGGCACAACGAGATCAGCAGAACTGGGTAGTTGAGCTATCCGCAATTGACTACTGCATATATATATATACAGCATTGTATTTGGGATCTGGTTGTGAGTCAGAACATGAGGCGAGGAAAGACTCCTGGTTGGCCCATGGTAGTGGCCCAGACGAATCTTGTCATCTGAAACGATGATTGTCGGGTCATCCGAAGTGGAGGGTCATTGAAATGTCTTTAACCCATGAGACTGAGAACATTTCACCGTGAAACTGAGTAGACTCGTGTAGACTCACCCGAAACACACCCACTTGCCAGCTAGTGACTGACACGAGCTATGGAGATTCAGTCCACTGACAAACCACTGAACAACTGGTGCACTGAACCTGGTGAGCCCCAACAGCTTCACTCACTCCTGTCGGACCGTGCAAAGACCGAGCCTACCGAGTGGTGTGGAATGCTTCCAAACTTACACATGGCTCAAATGAGAAGGAGCTTCCGGCTTCCCGGGATGGCTTAGTTGGAAGCCGAGCAAAAGGTATCTACACGACCTTCCCACCACGCTGTCGACCGGATCTGGGAGGGGGGATGCTGCCGGTCCTGAACTCCTTGAAGACGAAGTATGCACGTCTCAAAGCCTCACGGCTTTGACGTACGAGTCGTCACGCGAGTCGTCGACTCGCCACGACGTCGATGTCTGCGTTTCGAGGTCTATCGAGTCGAACCGGTCCAGTTCAACTATCGATCTTTTGAACTGTGGAATGTATTGGCCACTGTTTACAGAATTTTACAGATTGTCAGCTGTATCTGCATTTTCCGGCTGTAGTCACATGTATTGATTGGCTGCATTGGAAAATCCCGGCTGTAGATCCGTTTGGAAGCGAAACACAGCGAGCACCGCGTCTGACGCGAAGACACACAGCTGAGGATGACCCCATGACCCTTCTGACGCATTAAACCCACAAGAGTTGCCTGTGCGTCAGCAGGCATTGGTCAGCAAGCTTGGACTTCAGGCTATAAGAGGTTCCTTTTTGCCTGACTCCACTTATGGGTTTGTTTCTTTGACCGACCATGGTGCAGAGATTGTAGATAATATGATCATCCTTTTTTTCATGTTCAGTACTGCCATCCTCCTGGAAACATGATGAGATTCCGAGAGAACCAGTTCACAGTTTAAGAACCACCCACTCCTAAAGAATGAGAAGAATGCCCGTGATCAAGCCCAAAGCTCCCAGTCATGTGCATTGGTTCACCGGCATCTGCAAAACTCATGCTGATGTCATGCTTCCTTCCCCGTTCCCTCCTACTATCTACAAAAAGTAGGATTTGGCAGAGCCATGCAGAGCCGGAAAGGCAGTTCTTCATCTGGAACGCCATCCGGCACTCGTATGTGTTTTATCTAACCTAACCCAAACACTCCACGTATGGAATATTTCCCGACATCAGCCTATATACCTTGACCCTTTTTTCAACCGCCCCAATCTAGATCAATATGTCAGGCCCATGATCTGTCTGCTCTTTCGGAGCGAGCGTCAGAGACCTCGGCGTCGGCATCCTCGGACCGCTGGTCCAGGTCGACCGCGACCGCGGCGGGCCTCTTGAACGTCCTCCATGGTGCGCAGACCGCTGATGGAGACCTCGACGGTGATCAACCGGACGAAGAACGAAGTCGTCCCGAGAGAATTTCATGGTGTTGTATCTTCCTTCAGGAAAATGTATGGCAATGTATGGATATGTATGGTAATTATGTTACTCTTCACATTATTCTGCTTATTGTTTGAGTTCACCAAAGCACAATTCGACACTCTTGGAAGCCCACCGTCTCTATACTCGCCATGTTTTCGGGTGTTCAATTGGTGCTGTTCTTTCTTCGACACCGCCGGGCTCCACCGCCGTCCTCTATTGGAGGGTGGGTCCCCAACCCGTTACCTCGTCACGAACTGTATCAATCGCCGGCTATGTGAACATTGGCGATGAAATTTTGAATGGGGATTTTTCACATGGACACACGACATCAAACCCGGGATGAGAGTCGTGTGTCAAACCATGTCAGACCGTCTTTTCGAAACATGTCAGACCCGAAACAATTCGGCGACTGAAACAGTTTGTGGGCCTGGACTTGTGTTCTCCGTCTTCTGCCCACAGAGTGACTGAAGTCTCGCTTTTTGTTGGGCCCTTAAACGAGCCGATGCACGAGCCGCTCCGACCGGCTCGACCGACAACGGTGGCCGTGTCGGCCCATCGGCCCACCTTGCCACCGGCTGTGACGAGATATGTACACTTGGGCCTCGAGAGCAGCGGAGAAAGAAGGTGGCCCAAACAAGGGAAGAACTTCACCTGGGTCTCACCACCTGGGGGCCTGTATGGGCCTGTGGATGCTGGGAGAAGCATCAAAACGCGGGCGGCTAGAATCTCAAGTTCTCAGAAGTTCTCCAGGTTTGCTATTTGTCCAAATGTCAACAACTCCCATTTCAATTGGAATCCATGTCTTTTCTGGATGCTCTTGGCTGTTGCTTCAAAGGACATTTCCGCTCTGGATGACATTCTTCAAGTCAAGGGAAATACCGCAACAAACAGTGCATGTTCCATTCGCTTTCTTCAATCGCTTGGAGTGTATACCAATCTTTCAGGCATCCGTGTTCATGGAAGATATCCTCTTACACTCACCACACAAATCATCCCGGTCTCAATGTGATCTCACTGGTTTCTTTACTGGTGGATTTAACCAGCAGCACTCGACTGCGAGGGTCGGGCTTCTTCGTGCGAAAGACCTGAGGTCAGGCCGCGTGGTCCTCCAGGTGTGGGGAGAGGTGTGGGGGCCATGACGAGGAAGCAAAGTTTGGTTGTTTGGAGGAACCTGGCAAGCATGCTGCGGCAGTGCAAGTCCTACAGGTGGAACCGAAACGTGTCAAATCTGATTTTCGACAGAGGAATCTCCTGGTTCACTGTCCAAGTTATTTGACATGTTCTTGTTTCAGAATGACCATGTCCCAAGGCCCCTTTGGCAAACAGGTGAATATACCATTCCAACTAAGGAACATAGCTCGGAGGGTCTTCACTGAAACTTAGCAAGGCTCTTGATTTCCAGAGTACTTACACGCGCCATTACATGACAAATATTTGAGTAATGTTGAATCCTCGGTGTTTATACTGAAACACAAGGCGACTCTGAACCTAATGTCTTGGTATGCCTTGGCCTTGGTCTGCTCATTTTAACACCTCGTTTCAGTTTCTAAATCCCTTTCAAGCAAAATGACTTGTTGAATCGCAATAGGCCAGTCCGAGATGTGCCTCATCTCGTAAGCATTTCTGCCACACATAGGATCAAATAGCATCAAAAAGGAACAATCGCCGATATACGAAGTGCTCTCACAACCCTGTCGATTTCTTTATGCGCGTTCAAGTACTTCAAGGGGGGGGCGTTCTCAACCCTCTATGGAATTATTACTAGTAGCAAGAAGCTACTACAGAAGGGGCTCCTGGCATGGCTACTAGGAGCGGACGCTACTAGGGGCAAGGACGCTACTGGTCAGGGGTGAAAACAAATCCGCTCCTCTTCGCTTCGACGTTTCCCGGTGCGCTGCTCGCGAGATGCGCTGCGCTGCTCCCGATGCGCCGGACGCAGCTGCAGAAGAACTCGGGCTCGTAGAGTGCGTTGCGCCGAAACCTTGGGCGTCGTGCGAAACTGCGGTGGGTGGAGCTTCACACAGCTGAACAAGTTGTGAGTCATGGGGATCCAGGTGCAGGTCGAAGATAAACACACCAAAATATGATATGTATAATGATATAAATTATGACATATCAACTTGAAACCACTATACCTAGAAGATCCTTTCGGCAGAAATTCTTGCCTTTTTCGGGAAGAGCGGCTCTCCCCGTCCTGGGGCGGAAACCAACTTTTTGCCGCGGAAATGTTTTTGTTGCCGCAAATTTTCCCTTTCAGGAATCTAGTGAGAGACTACATATATTCTATATAGAACAGTTGAATCTTTTTGGTGGTTTGCATGCATTGGGCATTTCTGCCTGGAATGGTCACCTCAATGATACAAAAAGATGGCGGCGCTTAAGTTTCCACCTCCACCTGCAAATCTGGCTACCATGTCTTTGTTTTTGAAGGTTTCTTGTGCGGAATGAGCACACGAGCAGTAAAATCAGTCCAAAGTTGAAAACACCTGGCGCGAAAATGCCCGGGAAAGAGGCGGAAATACCCGGGAAAGAGGCGGAAATACCCGGGAAAACGGCGGAAATTTCCTGGCAGAAGGCAGGATTCAAGAACAGTGCCCTTGAAGGGCTTGAACATATATCGCAGCCTCTTTGTGAATGTCATGAATTTAGAAGTAGGATGTCAGATCTTGAGATGTGAAACTATGGCCTTGCAGAACGATATGTGGTCTGCAATCATGGAAGAGACAACCTGGTCGGTGTTAGGCAGTGGTGATGGTTTTTGAATTGCTATGTCGGATTTTACTCGAGGCAGAAATTCCCGCTGGCCGCGGAAATTCCTACCTGGCGCGGATTTACCCTAAATCCGCGAATCCTCCCGGGCAAATCGGACTGAGGCAGAAATTTTTGCCCCAACTGCTTTTAGGTATAGCAGGAAACCAAAGTTCCATTGAAATTGAAACCAACAGAACCAGCATTTGAAATTGCAACATCGCAATTATGGTCACGCAGGTTTGAAGAACCGAATGAAGAAAACACCGAGGTTGATGGCTGGTCCACACTTCACCATACACAAACTGTTTGGGGCCTCTGGCTGGTTTTCTCTGCAGATTTTTGACTGACTGGTCACTTGGGGTTAGATCCCTCAAACAATGACACCAGGCAGTACTATAAACTGATTAAAACCGCGAGTTGTTTTCAGGCAAACCTAGTGGGACAACTACCTGAAATAGAGAACACATGGTCAATATGGGTCCCCTTTCCCAGGTGACGGATCTCTTCCCGTCTTCTTCCCGTCTGAACCGTCGGACGACGTCGAGGCACTTCGATGCCAGCTGGTCCAAGCGCACGGGAAAGCCCAAATCCGCCTGGTGCCGGTCGGTCGAACCGCGCCAAATCGCTTCGATGACGAAGAACGGTGACATCTGGTGGTGACATCTACCCATCCACTCAACCGGGCCGATCTTTTCGCCCGAAATTCCTTGGGGAGTTCGAAGGGTTCACCCACTCACTGGGCTTCGTTTTCAGCGAGGCTTCGCCCCTTTGGCTTCGCCCCAGTCGTGGGAGTCTCGCTTCGCCTTGCACAGGATGCTGGAGATGCCATAATCGGCGAACCTGGCCACGTTCAAAAGAGACAAAAACGAACATCGGTGGACAAACATTCAGAAAAAACCTTGGTTTTGGAGAACCAACCACCCAAGACTGCCCTTGCTGTTAATGATTGTTTGCGAGATGACCATAGCAATGGGTACGTGACAGTTATGGTACATTGCTTCTCCAGTCTTCAATACCAGAAGTGCTCCTTGAAGTGAACGGACGGGTCAACTGAGCCCTCAACTGAGCCTTGCGACTTGCCAGCCACCCTTGTTGCAAGCCGAGCGAGTCACCGACGCTTGTGGTCGGGGAGGAACCGGTGGTGTCCTCTTCGAAAAAGAATTAGGGACTCAGTCACGACTGGAGCCGATGAAACAGGTGAAGTGCCCCTTGGGTTGAGTGAGATTTCACAACTGTTTTAAAGGTCAATGTAGGTAAAATATTCCGTACATGGATGGCCTGGGACTGTTTCAAAGGCTCTCTCAAAACACAAGAGGACAGCGGATTCGTTCCTCCCAGGATTTCCAAGACCCAAATCCACCAGCTTGCAGCTTGTTGAATCAGTGTTCCTCACCACTTCCTCCCTCAAATCAAGTATATATATCGCTTCCATATCATGTACCTCCCAACAAAAGGAATGGTCCGTCGCTACAGGCCAAGGATCTCATTTTACTGGACCTGGTCAAACAAAAACATTGTTCACTAAAGGAAAGGATCGTGTTTTGCAGGGTCTTTGGACTTGTAGGGTACGGTATCGGTGTATCGTGTTTACCATATGAAGACCACAAATCCGACAGTTCTTGGGTATCCAACAGATTACCTCTCACGGCCTCTCAAAATGACCCACCAGAAAGACTCAAAACCACAAACAAAACCGGTTTTCAAATACATGTTTTCATCTACCAACTGTTCAGGGTAAACTGGAGACCGCGCCAATCTCCAACTCGGGGCCATGTGGCTGTTCTCCCGACACCGCCAAAAGGAAGCGTGGCGGGTGTGGCTTGGCTTGAGGATGACCCGCCCTGGCACGGTCTTTGAACATCCGCCCCCTCCCGAAATTGGTTCGGTGGATGCCACGGAGGTCGAAAAGCCATCGAACCTGAGGATCTGGGGGCCGTTCGGAGCGCTAGGTATCATCCGGTGGGATGTGCATGGGTGGATCAAGACGACCGCCATGGATGATCTCGCCCAGTCGTGTATGTGAAACGCTGGGGAGGCGTTTCAGCAGGAGAAAGCAACAAAGGGTGGGCATTCCTGGACCCAGGATGGAGAACAAACAAAACACCTGGTATTATGATGGAAAACCCTGGGAGAACAACGTGTATATCGAATGTTGGAGTGATAACAAACATGTAACTATACAGCAATGAACACGTTAAAACACCAATTAATTCGTGTGTGCTCTGTTTGCTTCTTCATGTCAAAGACATGAGCGTCTGCCAAAACGTTCTGTTGGATACAGGACATGATGCAGCAAGGTTATTGCTCTTGAGGGGGGCCTGTCGCTTTCGCAGGTTTTAGCCCAATTCCTGAAATTCACGACCACCCTCTAATTAATCGTATTAATACCATCCGCCTTCGGTCGAGAAAGAGGCTAGCCTACCCACTACTCTTACAGGGTCTAAAATCCACCGTAAGATTTGCTTGGAGGGTAGCACTGCTCCATGAATTCCAAGGAGACTGCCGAGACTACCCCTCCAAAGCTCAGAAAGAACAACTAGACTGGGGGGAGTCCTGCGGATTCAGTCCATTTCTTCCACTTCAGCAATTCCCTTCTGCCTCTGCACCAGCCGTGCCACTTTCTTGGCGGACCTGCTGAGCTCGGCTCGATGACCTCGTCACCTCGTCACTCGGATGGCGATGCTCGATGGCTCAACCGAGGTTTTGATCTCAACATTCCACATGGACATCTGAGCATGTCTGAGCAGCAGAATGTCTGATCATCGCTCTGAGCATCGCTCATGTCAAGCTGCCCTTCACGGAGCTGACGAACAAGTTATGCAGAACACATTGCACGTATGTGCACATGCTCAGTTCAATAGCCGAAGAAGGAGTGACACTAGGAATGGATAGGACCTGGAGCTTACAGGTACGGCAGCTGGAGTCAAACACTGCCAGGAAATGTGATAGGAAACCAAACATCATCCACATCATTCAACATCCATGTTCTTGACCTGTCGACATGAGGTAGGGACCCGAAAATAGCTTCTTTTGGATCGACATCCAAACTCAAACCCGAAGACGGGACCCATCGAACAACACCGGACATCATCCCCATTGGCCTCTTGAGCCCGTCTTCCGACACTTTGGCATTCGAAGACCTCAGGTAGATCGAAGGGCTAAAGCGGCAAAAGGAACGAGAGGAGGGAGAGGACATACATGGTGTTTTGAAGACCGCCATTTTGGGGGTTCAGGTAACCAAACCCCCCAAAAAAGAACAGGCGCAGGCGCAGGTCAGCCTTCGAATGCCAACACACATCGCCTCTTGAGGCCCTCCAGGGGAAGATGACGGTGCTACAAAGGGGCTCTAACCCTGCAAGAAACCCGGTGGTGATAGCGTTGAAAATGCTGGTGATTACTGTACAAAGAAGAGTCACGCAAAATGCCACCCTCAGAGAGTCACAAAACAACTCAACCTTCTGTATGATCTTCAAGTAACGCTGAGAGACCCCGAACCAGAACTGAGGCCTCCGAACGTGCCCCCTCTGCCAGAAACGTACCAAGCATCCTGGAACCTGCCCACACCCCCCCAGAATACAAGTTGAACCACAGGTATATCACATCATCTCACATCATCACACGGTCATCCACACCCCGCACCACCCGATCCATCTGCACCCGATCCGCACCCAGTCTGCACGGAACACGCACACACCCGACCGCTGCGGTGCCCGGGCAACATCACCTGACCGCTGCGGCGCACCAGCGCAGTGACGCGAGGGTTGAAGAGTCGTACCTGGCACGAAGACGCCACGGCCGCGCCGAAGCGGCGGCGCCGGGTAAGACGAGAAGGTCAAGGCGTTGCTGCATGCATCCATAGTCTTTCAAGGCAGCATGTTTCTTCTCTGAATCATGGATGCTGCACATAAATGCACGACATATTATAGTCATGGGCTTGACCATCTTCATCCACCAACCGGAGGTGGCATGGGCTTGCCATGCTCGTCGATTCTGGAATCCTTTTTTGGGGGTCTCCTAGAAGGGTTCTTCCGTGATCTTCTATCACAGGAAAAGATCCACATCCGAGATCCTAACAAAACAACTAACATTAAACAAACCATATATCATAGTTCTGTTAAGTTATAGTTAGTTATATATACCAAACATAAACCAAATTATCCGAAAACATACCCCTAAAATCCCCTAAACCAAGGATCTCATAGGATCTCATTGCCAGATTCCCCGGCGATCTCCGGAACTGTTCTCCACCCTTCACCGAGGAGTCCGGCGGTGCTCGCGGCGCACGGTGATGCTCGTGTGCTTCCGGGGGTTGTACTCCGCGTGGCGAATGGAGAAGGCCACCTCGGCGCTCTGCGAGAAGCGCGGTCCAGGCGCTCCGGCACACCGATCGGTGAGGTTAGCCATGGGTGCAAATCACCTGAAAATACAGTCACCTTGGCCAGGTGCCATGAATATAGAAGGATGTTGAAGGATCTTGTTCACATCTTCTTCGTCTCAAGTCTCCTCACTCCAGCTTCGAAGCTGCCGGCATCCCACTCAAACCGAAACCGTTCACCCAAACCGTTCGACACACATATAATATACCAAATTCACCTCCTGACCGCACAGAACCCCTCCTCTGTCTCGACCGATCATCAGTATGTCTCGACCGATAATCAGCCATGTGTCATCTCGGGATGGAGGAGATCAGCATGTCTCAGTCATGAATCAAGCAAAGCTGCTTTGTGCCAGCCGTTGCCAGCGCCTTTCCTTCCAAATTCATCTAGTCCCCCAGTCCGTCCCCTTAGGCCCTTCCCCCCAGCCCCATTCTGAGCTTCCCATCCTCTTTCAGATCTAACTCACAACGGAGATGAAACCTCGAAGGGGCGCCGTCCGACCACGAAGGGGGCGCCGTGAAAACACCCGGAGGGAGTCTCTTTCCGAACCAAACACATCGGGAGTGCGGTGCAGTAGAGGGGGAAAAGACGAAGACGCACAACCCTGTAACTGCACCGAAGAAAGTCTCAAAAAGCACTAAAGAAACTACAAAAACAGATCCACCAAAGACACTTGGCCTCCAAGTCGAATGAAGCTAGCCTTGGAAGACATTGGACGACCGACCTTTCGCAACCATCGCCCCCAAAGTCCACCCGGATCGTGCGGATCGCACAGCAGTTGCCCCGCACGGAGGACCCAGATGGGTCTCCCCCACTTGGCCACCATAATGAAGGGCACCGGGACCACCTCTGCCCTCAGAGCGCGAGCTCGCGCGAGCTCGGCTCGTGCGCGGATGGATGGAGAATCCTTTCGGTGGACTCACAGTCCGATGGGTTTGGTCCAAAGGGTTAGTCTGTTGAGCTGCGGGGCAAAACATAGGCAGCGTGGTACCGGCAATGGAAGAACGTGTGAAGCGAATTCCAAACAGTCCCTGGGTCGTCGTTGGGTCGCCACATCCAATTCATGCGCCCCGGCAGTACGTTCGAAGGCGAACACGGCAGCTCGCTGGGCCGAGCCGACGGCAGTTGATGCTGCGGGTCGGGCAAGTCGGGCCTTGGGCTGCGTCGGGCGAGACGTTGCGTGGTGCCACCGACCACTACCTGGTGTAGACTGAGAGGTGACTGGGCAAGTGATCATTCCAAGCATTGATGAACAAAAGGCTGTGAATCCATGTGAATCCCAAAAGACACAGACTGCGTATAAGGTTCAACCCATGGAAACAAACAGTAAACTAACTCAACCTTTCTTCAATTGATGTTAAACAACATGATTTCAAACAAAGACGTTAAACGAACTCTGCCTTTCTTTCAGCGCAAGGCGGGGCTGTGACACTCAGACACGAGTCCGGAGTCTCTTCTCGGACGAACGGAGAAAGCACAAAGAGTCTACAGGTGGTTTATACCAATGGTATAGGAGAAAGCACATGGTTACCATGTTATACCCATGACTGGGAGAACATCCGTTGGTTTAGGTCTTTCAGGTTGACTCACAACCACCGAATGAACATATCAGGAAACCTGGTGGGCCAAGTGATTGGAAGGGTACAAAAAGGCCCATGAACATCCATGAGTCTCTGACAAGAAAAGGCACAACAGCAAAGTTGAAGAGACACATGTCTGAGAGACCTGAATCCATAGCCGTTTGTGACACATTCTTGCGCAATCATTGCAGTCATGCGATCAAGCATGGAAGGTCTACATCTCCGCTGCTGGGAAAAGTGATCTTACGAACCATTCCAGTTCAAAGCACCAGAATGCTTTGGGAACACATGGGAACACCCATCAAATATAATACAATGCAGTACCAGCACCTTGAAAGTTTGAGCGGGAGTTCTACTTTTGCTCCTATACCATGCTTTGCCCCACAAACAACTCCTCCTCACTGCTGGGCTGCCCCCGCGGAATGTCCAACTCCTGTGGAGCTTCCTGCACTGCCGGCAGTACAATAACGCAAAGGTTCCAAGATTGGACTTTGCGGCTTTGCTGAAACAGGGATGATGGCTGCAACATAGTAGCCACTTTATCAAAACCCTGGGTAGTAGCAACTCCATCAAAACTCTGGCTACTAGAATACATGTCTGTATAATCATATATATATATGTCTCAATATCTAGATTGCAACACCCGACAGGTAGGTTTAGAGAATGATCACAACTTCTATGAAATGAGCTTGACATACGCTCGCTGGAGGGAAGGCAGCAGGCATATGTTGCATGAAACCATACTAGGGGAACTTTGCCCTCATTGATTGTCCTCATTGACTAGGACTGACTGTTCTTCCTGTGGCAGTTCAGTTGAAAAGACACACACACACACACATCGCTGTAAAAAACACCAAGTCAAGGACACCTAACACTTGCTGGTCGCTTTTCTCCCCAAGCCTTTTGAGAAGGCTGGAGCGTCACTTGCTGATCGCCCCACCGCCGCAGTGCTTTTTGCGCTCAAGCCGTCTGGATTCTCAGCTCCTTTCGCAGGGCCTGCTTCGACCGAAGTCCAACGGTCTCGCGAAGGAGCCGGGGAACTTTCAACGGGGTGCTGTTGGGAATCTGTTCTCGGGATGCTGTTTTTTTACTGTGTTGCTGGTGCTCTTCTTTCTATTTTTCTCTTCACCGTATTTCTTCTTGTGCTACTTGTAAGTCAATGAATACTTGTAAGAATGTTGAGGTTGTATCAAGTAGATTCAACGAGCATCCAAAAGGGATTATTGTACTCTCACAGTGCCTCTTTCACCTGCCAAAGGACACACTTCCACGAACTCTTTTGAAAGTTGAACATGCCCAGGAACACCTATTCAAGATATACAACAGCCATTGATGCAAAACAACGGATGGAAAAAAGAACCAATCCAGCAACACTTCGCCAGTGGGATTTCTCCAAAACTCCAAGCAACCTCGTCCCATCCCAACTGCGAACACAAAGCCCGAACACGCCCTGCGACCCGTCGACGTGAACTCGTTCGCTGCCTTGGGAAAGCGGCGTTTCTGCGCACGGGACAAGTACCTGCAAACAGGTTTTAAGAGTTCTGCGCGCTTTTTTGGATGGTTTTTGAAGGCCTTTGATGTTTTATCGCACCAGGGAAAGGCCACAATTATTGGCAAGACCAGATTATGGCTGACTGAAGCCTTACAAAGGTGAAGTGTCAAAAAGAACAAGCAACAGATTCATTGGACCAACCTATAGTAGCGATGGCCTCCAACCTACTAGCGATCCACTAGCGGCCTCCAACCTAGCGACAAGCCATACCTAAGCCTGGCTGTGGTTCATCTGCGCACGGGTCCTCTGCACCGCAGCTCTCACAGGCTGCATTGAGCCTGGCGTTGTCTGGAGAAGGCCTGTTGTCTCACCAGGTTGAACTCGACAGGTTCTCCCAAAAACACGAAAGGCAAAAAAAAGGACAACACAAGCAACTCGATGGACAAACAACAGAGGTTTTGGCGAAAACTCGATCCAAATCGAAAGGTCTGGGCTCCGTCTCCTGTCATTCCAAACGGCCCCAAACGGCCCACAACACATCAGTCGCCAGCGAGTCGTCCAAGCCAGTCGTCCAACTCTTCAAAGACAATTAAAAAAACATGGTGGACATGAATTTGTCGTGTAACATGATGTACAATTCACATATCTTCTGGAAAGAAAAGGCTCTTCAACTCATTCTAGCCTTTAGAGTCCGTACCTTGAGCATCTTGAGCTCGCTCCTTTGGACCCCCTCGGTCGTCGCTTGTCGTCGGTCGTCGGTCACCTGCGGATCTCGTCCAGCGAGAAGTTGGACATCCTCCGGAGGGATTCACGAAGGATCGCCTTCACCTGGGCTCCGCGAACGGTGCGAGCGTCGTGCGAAGGGTGTCCTTGTTTTTGCAGGGGGAGGCTATCCTTTTTTAGGAGGGGGAGGAGTTAGGTGAGGATTCTTTTTGGTGGCGCAATGTGGGCGTAATTACAAGCTATACTATACCCTGTATATCTAGTATATATTGACGTGTAATTGGACATAACATAATCACTTGTCTATTGGCCTGAATAGCAGAGTGCTTAGTAGAGATAACCCTGAAAGCATTCATCGAACAGGAACAATCGGACAGGAGGGGTGCAGGAGGGAGCAACTCCCACCCCACCTACATCTCTTGGGTACAGGCATCACAACCATAATATCTCTGTACAGCAGGTTAATGTTGAGGAGCGAGGAGCGTCAAGTGGCACCGGCAGCAATGGTGGCTCATGGTGGCTCTCCAACATCTTCTTGGAGATTCACAAGCTCCACAGATATGTGAAACACAAAAGTATTCGACTTTGTCTGCGAAGTACTCGACATCTCCCATGTGGTGCACAAATGGCTCATGAATGGCACTATTCTTTAAATAAATGTCCTATACTGCACCTGGCAAAGAAAACCAGGTTCTGGAGCACCCGCATCATCTCGATCACAGATGTTTCTAATCTTCTGGTCAAGGGCTTTCGACATCATCCGGGAAGTCCCCAATAATAATGGGCGCTGCACCAGAGTGGCGTTGAACTGCAGGGTAGAAAACTACAACCAGGTGGCCGTGGGGGGGTGGGGGTTGTCGCATGCTGGGGCAGCGTGTCTTTAGCGACAAAGGACAGCGTGCATTTGCTGGTTTGAATGGCCACAAAAGCCGAATTCTTCATGAGCCACTTTTTCTACCCAAACTTTTGCCCGGGAGAGTTGTGTTTGCATGTGAGTTCATCAATGTGTGTCAACAGTGGGATCCCTTGTAAGCCCTTCCCCGAAACAGATTTTCGCACCCAAAATTGACTGGTTAAGTGAAGAACCTCTGAGAATCTCTTTCTCGTAGAAGAATGCGGAGCACTCAGAGTGACAACTAGGGCACGGGCCGTTGCGAGATCAGTATTTGAAGGGACCTCGCTGCCTGAAAGGAACAACATTCGCTTCTCAGCTGAGTGCAGTACGCGCAACATGTGCCTTTAGCAGCTGAAATGTAAGAGGAACTTCAAGCAAAAGAACTCGTTGATGATGCAAACGACTGGTTGAACTGCATTTGCGATAAAGGGTCTTGGGATGGTTTCCCAGGGGGAGAATACGCTTGGTAAGACGAAGTGTGCGCTGACATTTGCGGCCGCAGATTGGATCCTGAAAAGAAAAATGGGTTAACTTCCGGTTGCTCGCCGCCTGCGTAGAGCTCTGCGGCCACGGTGAGCTGCGCGGGTGTCAAACCCTGCAGTGCCGAGGCCACCAGTGGCTGAGCCTGTGGGTGGAAGGAGCGAAGAGTGAGGTCTGGACATGGACCATCACAAGACATGGATTTCTATATTAAGAAGCGAACGTAGAAACAAGTGCCACGCTACGAACGGAACAAGTGCCTTACTAGTAGTAACAAGAAGCTATATGGGTGTGGCCAGAAACCCTGGTATGGATCGTTCCGCGCTGCAGCGAGAGTGATCCAAACCCTATGGATCAGAGCGCTGATCCAAGCCCTATGGATCAAACCGACAAGTCACTTGATCCAAGCCCCCGACATGAACACATCTGCATGGTTGCACTTCACCCCACCACTTTCTCACCAATTCACTGTGAAGGTGGCCCAGATCAAAGCCATCCTGTTTGTGGCAAGCCTGTTTTGAAGTTCTGGCCGCTGTGAATTTGGGCTCCACTGTCCACATATTGGGCATGGTTGGGTATAGAGTGGTTGCAATGAGTGTTGGGGCTCATTCTTTCTCCAACTTAAGCAGACGACGCAAGAAGCCCAAAAAGGCCATCAGCTGGCCACGCATATTGGTGACTCAGTGGGCTCTCAAGACATTTAAAAGGTGGTGGCTTCAGCTCTAGATTGGAGGCTCACCCCGAGCACTGGTTAGTGGCTGCCGCTAATTCTGTTTGGCCTTAATATTGTGTTCTAGCGCCTTCTTTAATATGGGTTCGTTGGGTTGGCTCCTCCACTCAAAGGGTTGCATAGCCTAATGGTAAAAGTTTCAATTTCCAATTCTTCACTTGCGCAGCGTGAGGGTTCGAGTCCCAGCTGGGAGTGCACTTAGTGGCTTCCGCTAATTAATTTTTGGCTGGAATGGGAAGTCAATTTGAAGTTGAGTCTAGTGGCTTCCGCTAAATCTGTGGTGGTGGTAACACTGGTGATAGTAGTGAGTAGCAGTGGCAGCAGCAGTAAAGCTGTTGCAGTAGTAGCAGCAGGTGGCAAGTGCAGTGGCAGTAGCAGAAGGAGTGGTGGCAGCAGAGGTGGTTGTAGTAGTGGTGGTGGTGGTGGTGGTGTGATCCAAGGGCTTGGATCACACACCCACCTTTTGATCCATACCCTATGGATCGAGGTATGGATCGTGTGTGGGTTTGGGTGTGTGATCCAAGCCTTATGTTTCTGGCCGTAGCCATATTATGATGTGTGTTTTCTTGAATTGTAACTCTCTTTCAGGGTGTGCAGGCCGGGTCTCGCTGGGGCTCCCCCATATCCTCAGGTTCAGTGGTGGTCTTCGACCCTTCTGGCACCCACCCCAGTCCCCCTACCGAAACGGAGGGGGCGGCCAGGAGCCCAAACGGGAAGCTCAACGCCGGGAGTTGTCGGGCACTTGAAGGCACGAAGAAGGCACGAAGTGGTGTGCCCTGGAAGGTTGGAAAAATAGACCAGTCTACCCAGCCAGGGCGGGTGGTTGAATCAAAAGAACTGGTTGTCTCCACTTTGCAAAGTTCTCAACGTCTAAAACCTGGTTGCTTTGCAACCGTTTCGGCATCCAGGCATGTTTTGCATGGGGGTGCTTGTCTGTGAAGCTTTGCGTTCAGGTACGGCTTTCTGAGACACCGAAAACGGCCGCTTTCTCAGGCTCTTGCCGCATCTAACAGGCGGAGGTCCAAGGGCCTTGAATACGGCGGAGCGGAGCGTTGAACGACCAAGCGGAGCGGACCAAACGCACCGCTCCAAGGACCTGCAAACGCGCCCCATGACCTTGCGCAT